GGAATCTCTATCACTGTCACCAACATCAACAATTAGTTCTTCTGTTTGTCTGTCTATTACTTGCTCACTGATCCCTATTTTTAAATATTTAATCTACGCCCCTGATAGGAATACTGAAGAATGAGGGCTGCAATCTTTATACCTAAAACTGCCTACTTTTGCCACCGCGCATCCAAGCCATTTTAAAATTTCTGCCAGCTTCCAGCGTCAGGCCTGTACACAGTTGGTACTTCCAAATTTGCCCCTCATACTGGGGTCTGTTATATTTGCTACTTCTTGGAACTTGTCTACACCCTTATTTTTATTGTAAGAAAAAGAAAAATCAGATCTGACAAAGTTAATTCGGCGTGTGAACTGCGCGTGATAAATCAAAAATAAATCTACGTACAAAACATATTATCACTCTTTTTCAACAAATAATTGTCCCTTGTGATTATATAAACCGTTAGATTCTTGTTGAGAAAATTAATTTTACATTACTTTTATGGGTGAAAATAAACATTAATTTTAAACAGGTCGAGGAAGGTACTTAGCCAATAGGCAGGACAATATAAAATTCTACATTTTATAGTTAATAACATTTACTGCGTACGTTTATGACGAGCTGACTTTTGTATTTGTTCGGTGCTATTTTAAACTCTGTAATTAATTTCGGTCCGATGGAAGTTCGTAACAAAAGACGGCCGGAAATTCAAAGGAATTTTTAAATAGGTAACGCTTGACCATTATGTTACACGTTAGAATTCGGACATGGATTGACATTTGCAATATTAAAACGGATTTGGGGACGCAAATTGATACCTCGGCGGTATCACGTGGATTCGATTTGCGTCCGTCCGTTAAATAATTCAGTTTAGTCCGGGTATTCGTCTGTCTGTACGTCAGTAGATGGTGGTAGTGGTAGTGGTAGGGGTAGGTGCAGGTCGTAGTGTGTTACGGTGCAGCACACGATGCGAGAGCACTAAAAGGCACTAATCAGCCGTTCCATTTCGTTAATATCGGTGCCGGTTATTCTGCGAACAATAGGAGCAGAACATGAAAATCGACCGTGAGTATCAGTCTGGCTTTTCGAGCCGGGAAAATTAATCAACGTAATGAGGCCGAAAAGGTTACGTTGCTACAAAAGAGTCAAATAAGCTGGACGAGATGAACAGCTGCCTCTGCCGCCTCTGTCAGATGCCTGCACACAAATTGTATCCGTGTATGAACAGTAAACTACAAACGAACCGGACTCGATTTCATCGCTGATGACATTTTATTTTGCATGACGAATATGATGCTAACGGCGAGCTCGGTACTTCTAAATTCGACATTCGGGAAAACCTTTGATAAC